CTAAGGCCGCAAGGATGATGTCACTGTAGGGTCCTGGAGCAAGGGCCTTAACCCCGACTGCTCCAAGGATGATGTCACTGTAGGGTCCTGGAGCAAGGGCCTTAACCCCGACTGCTCCAAGGATGATGTCACTGTAGGGTCCTGCAGCAAGGGCCTTAACCCCGACTGCTCCAAGGATGATGTCACTGTAGGGTCCTGCAGCAAGGGCCTTAACCCCGACTGCTCCAAGGATGCCGGAGGCTGGGCAGCCCTGTGTGTGACCCTGGCTCCGTGTGTGACCCCGGCGTGTGTGTCTGAAAAAAGTGTCACAATTCTGTTATATTAATGTTTTAAATATGTTCTCATCACCAAGGCTTCAGACTCTCACTGGCTCACTGCCTCAGAAAGGGAGCAGCTTCTCATGGAGCTGAAGGCCACGGGATGGATTGAAGTGGATGACCGTGATGCTCTTTACAAGGAGCTGGATTTCAAGACCTTCAATCAGGTACACAGAACAAATAGATTCAATTCAAAAGTTCTTTTCACTTCTTTCTACACCTCAACTCTTTGCTGTGAATGCTGACGTGGTATCTGTTAATACTTAAGTACTACTTGTGTTGTGTTAGTGCACATGTACTTGATCTAATTTCTTGCTGGTTTGGAGGGGAGAAAATAATAATTTCCCTAGATAAATGATAAATTGATTTGTACTTGTTACATAATGATTTTCTCGTTTGTTTTTTTTTTTTTAATTCTATCTCCTGATGTTAAAATAAACCTTCTTTATAAATGGGTGAACTTAGAAATTCAACAGTGGGTTAAATAATTATGTCCCTCACTGTATCTCTTTGGTTTATAAACGGGGACATCTGTTGATTTAATTATGAGGAAGTATTTTGAGGCTTAATTGAAACTGCAGATAAAAATTGCAACAACTCTCTGTATGTCGGGCTAAGCGTGCAAAAAATGTAGCTGTTTTATAATTAAAATGGGCAACATTCAGATGTGTACTGTAGGTGATTAACCTTAGCCACTAGTATGGTGGCTAATGTTAAATGTTAGTCTTAATAAAAATGTTCAAACAAATGAAACGAGTGGAAACAAATATCCTCCTCTGTTAAAGGGACAGAGGATGTTCCCAGATCTCATTTTAAACTGTGATATTTTGCTTACAATGTGGCATGATGCCGAATGAATTGAAATGGAGCAAATTAAACCATGCAGCAGCCAAAACACAGAAATACTCGCCAGTTTCAAACCGCGGAGACACTGATCATCTGCGATTCCTCGGTAGGCTTTTGGATTCATGTCACGAGTGGCTCTGCAAGCGGAGAAGATGAATCATCACCCTGAGTGGTTTAATGTCTATAATAAGGTAACCCGGAATTTTAAATCACTCTGAAAAATTAACATCTTTAGAAGCTTGAGATGCCAGGCTTGTGTACACTGTTAGTTGACATTGTCAGAATGTATACACGTAACTTAAATATTAATTTAAAAAAGGGAATTTCAAATCTGAGCTGAAAATGATTTCAGTGATGGTTTAGGATTACTCTAATATAATGCATAAATGTGTGATTGCGATTGTGTTTCATTAGATCACCTTTTTGTCTTGGAAAGGGTTTAAAGAACAAATCAGGCTTTGCTTCTTGAACTTACAATTATTCAACCATAATTGCACTGGCATCTGATAGGATTGTTGTCTTGCCTCTTGTTTTCAGGTTCAGATAACACTGACTACACATGACTGTGGAGGGTTATCAAAAAAAGATATCAAACTTGCCAAGTTCATAGACAAAGTGGCTCTGACTATGTAGCTTAAGGATTCTTTTGTGTTCTGTGATTTGAATATGGATTAAAAAAATCTGTAATATATGAAAAATTTTGAAATGTATGTAATTATCTTCTATTATAAAGTACTTGATGATTTACAGAACAATAAATGCAGTCACTTCTGTTACAGTTGGGTCACTTAAACGTGAGATGTTTATTCCTCATGCCTGGAGAGGATGTAGACCATGTGGAGGTGCTTAGGTCTTCAAGCAGAATCTTAGTTCTGTTTGAGGGGGGTAATTTGGTTTAACTGTAAAAGTGATTGCCCATAAAGACAAGAAATAAAATGTAAAGTACATTTTTTAATAAATTTAAATTAAAGGTTGAAATGCACATGTTTTGATAAGTAAATATACTCCATAGCAAAAATAAGAAAAGTTGGAAAAACTGTGCCAAACCTAATATTGTTAGTTGCCTTATTAGAAATGTCAGTATGTACTGCTTTGTATGGCTGAAGGGCAAACTGCCCGCATAGGGAGGGAACTTCTATAGAAGGATAGACAGTAATGGCAAAAGACTCAAAGAATGTAACTTCAGAAATGTCAGATGTGAAGTTTGCAGTGCAAAATGTAATTAATTTATTCTGTGTGTCATGTGTGGTGTAATGTTTTAATATTAATTGAGAAGAAAACTTTACTATAAAATTTTAAGTATATGTGCAGTTGTGTGCCTTCAGTACTTTTCTTGCTGTCATTTCTAAGCTGTTAATTATATGGAACTTTAGAATAAATTGATTTGATATTAGGAATTGTTCAGTTGTCCCTCTATTTAGATTCTGATTGTGATGTTAGCCTGTACACAGATGAGCCTAAACATTACGACCAGCCCCATGTGAAGTGATGTTGAGTATTTAATTAAAACGGCGTGTGTCCAGGTCTGGGAAAAGCAAGCTTACCATCTAATATTAGGTACTGGACTGGGATAAAGATCGGAGTGACTTTGACAAGGGCCAAATCATTATGTAGAAACTTCTGAGAGTGGTGCGAGTGGGGGAGGACCATGGACCATCAACTGGGTGCTGGACAGCAAAAATGTGTAGATGTGAGGTTGAATGAAGGTCTTCCCATGTGGTACAACCAACAGAAAGGCTACTGTGGTGAAAGTAGATAATTTTGAAGATTATCAAGGGAGTCGCAACACCCAGCGCATGGAGACCTGCTGCGTATGTGGCTGCATAGCTGCGGATTACACTTGTCGGTCCAGTGCATCCCAGAGATGCTCAACACGTACCCAGCCATTGACATTGTACAACAGAAAACAGGGTTCATCGGACCAGGTGACCTTCCATTGCTCAAAGGTAAAGTTCTGACGCTTGCATGCCCGTGGTAGATGCTATTGATAGTGGCCTGGGGTCGGCATGGGCGATCCGACTGGCCTCTGGCTACGTAGCTTCATGTGCGGTGGGATTCAATGCCGTGTCATGATCACGTGACTCCCAAGGTCATAAAATTCTGCCACTTATCCCTCATTAGCTCTTCTGTTGGTTTGTGTACGTACTACTGGAGGAAAGCAGAAACAACCTCTGTAAATGTGTCTCCCCCGTGGCATTTAAGGTGCGTTAGCCAGGAAATCCAGACCGGACTACAAAAAAAAAATGGAGGGGGGGGGGGGATTAAGGTATTTATCCCTACAGACCTGCAGCCATACTCGGTCGCAGAGAACACGGGATTCAGTTAACTATGATTGTTATAATGCAGTCTTATTTTCGCTTTTTATTTTACATTTGCAGTGTGTTCAGACATGCCTAGGTGTCTGTTTACCTTATCGAATCCAAAGTTTGCCCAAACTTCGGATTTAAATTAAGACGGTGCTGGAAAAGTGTCTGGCACGATACTGTCATCAATGAGCAAGCGTGTTCAGCCTCGTTTATGCGATAACATAATCACGGTAACTTACATCCAAAAGCCATATTTAAAATCGATTTCCCTTGTGGCCCCCTGAAAGCATCCATTTTCCTTCCCACCCTTAATAAGCCTGTGTGTGTATGTGTGTATATATATATATATATATATATATATATATATATATATATTATATAATGGGTGTGTGTGTGGTAGACTAGTAGATTTTCAGCTTTTGAAACAGCTGCTTCATATATAATGTGAACTTTAGACGTCTTTTCAAGATTAGAAATCAGTGTCACAAGCAATTAAGTCTAAGACCAAATGTCACAAAAAATGTGATTCGAGTCCAACTCGAGTATGGAAGACAACTCGAGTATGGAAGTGTATACTGGACTTCAGTATTCGTAACCCACGGAAGACTATCCACAGATATTTAACTATCCACAAATGTTTCTTTTTAAAATTTATGTTATGTAAAATAATATCCACAAAATATGGAGCGATTTGTACACGTGAACCGTATTTTGCACATTTGTCCATTTGTGGATTTTTTTTTTCTACAGATCAGCTGCGGTAAGAAGTGGACAAAAATTCACAAATAAATAGGAGCGAAGTCACAAATACAACGTGATCCACAAATAGACAGGATGTGATCCACAAACGTGGAAAATATGTTTCGCGTGTACCAATTGCTCCATATTTTTGTCGATATTATTATTATTTATAATTTAATATTTGTGGATCATGGTACATATTTGTGGATTGTCTTCCGTGGGTTACAAATAATGAAGTTCAGTATATAAAAGTAGCAGACCTTTTTGAAATGTTCCACCTTTTGCTAAGTTTTGTAAATATTCTGTGTTCCAGGCAGGGGCACCGTAAGGGGGAGGAAAGCTAGGACGATTCCAAGGGCCCCTGAGTGACAGGGGCCCTAAAAAATTAGGAAAATAACTGGATTGGTTTGGACTGGGGGGCCTAATATGATATGCTTTCATGGGGCCCAAAATCTCTAGCAACGCCCCTGGTTCCAGGTAACAATAACCAAGCTTAACTGGAAATGCCAGGCCGACAGAAATTCCTGTAGATGGCCTGACTTCAGGCATTTGGTTCTGCAGCCTGACCGCTGTACTGGACCTTCACGCAGGGAAACACCATTTCATTTGTTTGTTTGCTGACCAGTGGTTGCTTAATTGCTTGGAGCCCCTGCATTGTACAGTTTCTCTTTTGGCTATGATTTTTTCCTACGTTACTTCAAAAATGGAGACAATTTTTTTTTTGATGGGAATTTTGTCTTTTGCAGACTGAAAAAAAATTCAGGAGGGACCAAGAACCGCGGTGACACTGTCCCCAGGATTAGAAGCTAAACTTGCGTTAACTAACGTTGAACATTTTCATTTTGCATTGTGCATCTCAGTAACATCCGTCTTCCGTGCCATTTTATGGCTGGTTACCTTTATTTTCCTTCTATGCCGGAACATCCTTATTTCTTTACGTATAATTACTTTGTGTTCCTAGTAACATTTACAATAAACTCATGAGTCAGGTTTTCTCTGCGCAGCGTCTTACACAACTTGGAAATGTATTCAACCTAGCAAACGCACTACACATCCATCTCGTTTTTTCTCCATAATTTTCCACTGTGAAATTTGTTTAAAATATACAAATTAATGGTTTTCCATTTAAGAATCGAAGCTGTTTTCAAATTTTATTTCAAGTTTATTTTGGTGAATCTGAGTGCGCCTTATTTTGCCTTTAATACAAAGTTTTCGTAAGTTCAGTTGATTATTGTAGATAAATTGCTACAACATTCCAGATAAAGTACGTATTCGCTTCGTCGATTATCGTCGCTTGTAAACAGGAACGCGATTCTGCAGCGGGACCAAAGCCGGGAGCCGCATCGGAGACGAGCGACCTGCAGAAATGTTCTGTCGCGGAGAATAAAACGGGAGCTGCAGGAAAATCTAGATCTAAATTTGAAATGTCTTTAATTCACATTAATTTATTGTAGTTTATCTAAATTTCTAACTTATAAAGTCATATACAACCGACTGTTCTTTTTTTCAGGTTTGTATAAATTCGTGGCAAATGCGTTGAGCATATAAGGAATTCAAATTGTTTAAATATAAAATGAACACTCAAAAGCATTGAATTCTTACCATATTTAGCTTAAGTTGTTCAATGTATAATCGATGGCGGTCTCTGTAAACACTGATGTAGGTACTATTCCGACACGTTAATATTTGCTATAAACTTTCATCTCGGTTATTCTTTAATTGGGTTCACTGGATACATGTTTTCGTAATTCTTCCTGTGTCAGTTAATCCCTATGCTGACAATTGTCCCACCACGATGAAATACAAAAAAAATAAGGCATAAACATAGTGCACGTTTAACATAAGTACTGCGTCTCATATACAAAATGCTTCTCTTGTCAGCTGTTGAACTGACAGGCGTTGACAGCAGGACCAGGGCTTTGCAGTCCGCCGTATCCAAAAGCAGGGTGCTGCTTAGATTTCAGTCTTAGTGAGGCCAAACTAGAACTGCAAGCGTCTCTGCAAACACTGTACGGCGAGCCGGTTGCTCCATAAGGACAGGCAGGTGAGGACATGGCCGGACTGAGGGAAGGACTGCTGATGCTGTTCAGATTGTTAATGTTGTTCAGAGCTGAGGCTGGCATCCCGGGAACAGCGGAATGGTTCATGCTGGACGGCATATTTATAGCGGGGAGAGAGTTTGCAGCCGAGAACATGGACTGGGAGCTGAGTGGGTTCATGGAGTTGAAGAAGGTGAAGTTCTTGCTGGACAGAGGTGCTGGAGCGAGCCCTTTATTTGTCCAGTTGTTGTAGGTGTAGGCCGGATACACCTCGTCATACGGCTGCATCAAGCCGCTGAACGGGGGCAGATAACCGTTTTTACACATGTCAATCTGCTGGTTGCGCTCGCGTTTCCTCCACTTCGCTCTTCGATTCTTAAACCAGACCTGTAAGACAGAATAAATCTATTAGTGATGCTAACACTACACACGGTTCGTTATGCAAGACTTTTTAATAACTATTTTCAAACAGTACCGTACCCTAACTCTGGCCTCGGTTAGGTTAGTCCACACTGCTATTTCCTCCCTCGTGCTCATATCGGGATACCGGTTCCGCTGAAAAGTGCCCTCGAGTTCCTGGAGCTGTTGACTTGTGAAATGTGTCCTTTGCCGCCGCTGTTTTTTCTTTTTAGCATCTTCAGCGGCCGAATCATCACATCGCTGTGCGACTTTCCTCTCCTTTTCTGCAGAAGCAATAAACGGGACAGACCAAATGCATGTATAAGTTGTTCTCTAGTCTTCTTTGATGTTGAAGGCCTGTGTTTATCTTATCTAGAGGCTGACATATGCTCTGGTTCTGGCATACTTACAAACAAAGCACGTCCTTTGAAAGCGTCACAGTGGTTTTGCAGGATTATGGTATAACATGCTGGAACAGGTTATCCGAGCGAGAAGACAGCACATGCGACAGTAGCGAAGGCAGAAATGCAGCAACTCTACCTGATAATTCAGTATCAGATGATTCGCTGCTGCAATTCTCTGCTTCTGGTGTGCCAGTGGCTGCTTTCGGCCGGTGAAAGGCGTGGGGCACGTTCCGCGTCGGTGGCGGACTCACAGCCTCAGAACTTCTGTCCAAATTCATCCCACCTTAAAATTGTTAGTGAAACATACTCCGGTTAGGCCTGGACATGTTTAACTGACCCATATGCACTTCAGGTTTCAAATTTACAGTGTAAATGGCCGGTCAGCCTTATCGGCGATATAGGCTACCACCGAGGGCACCAACGTATGAAGGGGTGCCAGCTTGCCAGCCAATTTCCACTTGGCCTCGAATGGGGGTGCCAGCAGTGATGCTCGCCTAGGGCGCCACCCCAGCTTGGACTGGTACTGTACATGGAGTGTTCTACAGAAAGTTCTTTTCATTATTTTATAAGTCTTACCTACCCTGAATCTAGCCCAAATCACTTTGTGGTCCAGTGTCTCAACAAGGCAAATCACGCCGATTCCAAAACAAAGAATTATAAGGCTTCTCAGCACACTCGCACTCATACTCGCACTCATACTCGCACTCATACTCGCACTCACAAAGCATATTTTTTAATTGGCCAATAACTCATTTTTGACAGTGATATTACACGTTCCTGTGATAAAAAAATTTATATTTTGCAAACGACAACAAAAAACTCTTGGAACTTGATATTTAATCAACCATATTAGAACATGGTAAAATATGAAATGTCAATGGCTTGCTATTAAAATTTTTCAATGATGTTTTTGTGTAATATGTTATGTGACCTAAAGCAATTTGAATCATGAATTACTTCAATACCACTATGTGACCTTATAAATCAATTTGCATCTGGAAAACCGATAATACAAAGAGTGGAATCTTTCTTTTGCTGGGCAGATGGCAGCATCGGCTGCAGTTTTGCATTCAGGTATTTCCCCATCTGTTGCTGTTGCAAAGATAATTATGATTGTGCTTCAAGCCTGTAATGACGTTTTGGAAAGTTAAACGTGTGTTAAAGAAAGAAGTGTAATGTAAGTTTACCTGACAAGTTCATACAGGAATAGCCTAATGATGTTACATCAACATCACTAGAGTTCAACTGAGCCGCCGGGATTCAGATTATGAATTATATATCGATTTATAGTCGCACCCCTTCCAATGACCTAACATCATTTTCACAACAATTTCCACAGTTTAGAAACAGAAAATAAAAACAGTATTACGAGTCTGAGGTGCCAAAGTTATGATTCAGCGAGAGATTATCAGTCAATAGGAACATTTTATGAGAGTCAGCTGTTTAAGATGTATAGACTGATATCCCAGAATTTACGAAGAACAATGCAATAGCTACACACTTTGGATTATAATATATATAGAGATATTCATATTCCATATATAACAAGTAGTTTATGAATATCAGTTTTGGGGAGCCACAGGAACACGAAACCTATAACGCAGATCAGCAGTAAATTTCAGTTAAACGGTCACATACTAATCGGGTTCTTTCAAATACAACTTTGGCTGAGGGACTTATTTTGCTAAAAGGTATTAAGGGAGGTACGGAATATGCCTGTTTTCAAGCAGGTCTGATTTCAGTTGCCCTGATACCTGTGAACAAAAATATGCTTCAGTTTTCAGGAATGTAAGGACATTTCCTCCAATATAGACAATGATGCACTGTAATATCCAAGCATTTAATCATTAATAAGAAACTACACACACTGCACTTTCTCCCAGTTAACTATATTTATTGAGCTGATTTAACTGTTACCAGTGACTCCACCTTTTGTTTTGCTATTTCTGTTAGTGTTTGTCCTAATAAGATATACACTGTGTGAGCATTATGTCATAAGATGGCCAATTAACATATGGGAAAGACTAAAAAGTAATCATATAGGAGAACAAATAGTCTTTTCTGAAATTGCACAAACGTTCTAAACTTTCCAATTACTTCCTTAATAATAGTCTGTTTGTAGAATAGGCAGGGGGTCTTCATGCGGTCTTAATCCCCCAACAGCGAACCCACTGTGAATACTGGCTTTTAGGCCACTGCAACTTAATTATCCTTCACTGTACAGTTGATGAGGGAGAAAATATACAAATCCAGTTTAAGTTTAAGCAGAAATCATTTTTAAATAGGCTATTACATCAAAGCGTTGATAATCTGTTTGTGGTGGTTTCGGAAAGAATCCGACGACTTTGACCGCTTTCGGGTAGGCCTATGTGGCGCGAGCGCTTTATTGAGACAAAGCTGTCTTGGTTTGACCATTAGAAGCAGCAGATCTTTTAATACGTTTCCACTAATTTTTTGGCATCGACTAAAAAGAAAAACACGCCGAAAAACAGCACAGATGATGTCACGTTCATCGTTTATGACAAGAAAAGGACCTTTTTCACTTCAGGAAATATTGCGAAGCTACGGATCTTCAGTTAGCCTATAACAACACTTTTAGCCTGGGATTATTAGCAGTTTAAGTTTGGCCAAAAGAGTGAGAAAAAAATCAGTACACTACACCAAAACGCCTGGACCCGAAAGTGATTTTTGTGTTACTTGTTTATTATGAACAGTTAATTTGTAAGGTTAACACATACTGTACCACATTGTAAGCGCTGATATTATTTACTTGTTTTGCATTATTTTAACACCAGACCATGATATGCGGTTAGAAGATGAACCGCTTGATTATTTTTATTTTTGGCGAATCCATGAATTCTCCTATTAATTTGCTATTTGTCAGAGTTTGTAAAATTGACGGTCATATCACAGTCAGTAAAGCGCTGTTCAGTTAAAACCTTTGGCGTCTGTTTAATTTCGACCTTTCTTTTGGCCTGTATTATCGTCGCAATTTTAGATCCTTATAACTTATATCGGCCACCGCATTTTCGTATCGGTCTATACATCTTAGTTAAAAGAGCGAGTTGTAATGTATACAGGCCTCCTTGTGACATTAATAATGCGATAAACTCACCTACCAAAGTGTTTTTATACCGGCGAGTAGGCCTATCTAAATTATTGTTTTTAATGTGGTTTATCCCTGAAACAGCAGAAAATGCACACATAGGCGGCTTAATGCACGGAAACTTTTTAAAAATATGTTTCGTGTGAAATAAAACAAATTTCATACACAAAATATAATAAAGAAGGTTTTACCTGGTGTCCTGCAGGCAACTACATTCTTAGTCAAATTACCGTCCATTCCAGTGGTCTGTGGAACAGCCATCAAAACAAATGAGAATATAAAAACACAACAAATCTTTTTCATTACAAAGTTTTTCTGAAAAACATGCAGAAGTATTACTAGAGCTTACAACTTATTTTTTTAATCCAATCATTTATTGACAGATAGGACTATATTTTTTCCCAAAGCGTCAAAATCCACGCCGCCCCCCTACCAGCAAATATTTCTTTCAAAATAAATAGAAAAATTGTTTTTCAACATACAGTATATTCAATCCTCAAGTGTTTCGATTGTGATTATGATAAATATACTATAAAACATCTCCTATAATATTAAATGTCGATTGTGTTTTTGTATTCATTAGCACTTAATTCATTTTAAAGATTACGGAGATTACAAAAAAATTTGCAGTATTGACTAGATCCAAATTTCCAGCGCGTCACCGTTGCATCCACTGATACAAATAACCTTAGGCATCAAACAATAATTAAACAGCTATATATAATTTTCTAATGTACATTTGTCTGATTGTTTAATCTAAGAGGTGATACGCTACATTAATACAAATTTGATGTTAGAATTTTAATTCCGATAGGGTTATATTTGCTTTGACTTACCAACTGATGTCTATAACTTTACATGCTGCAATACATATTTGCACAATAAACATTTGCTAACCATGTGGAGACATTCCTTGTAGCATGTGACATGGCAATTGTTTTCCTTTTGAGTCACTAACTGTATTTATTGATGACCTTGAAGGCTCGCCGCAGCTCAGAATTATTTTGTTCTAAAATATTTAACTGTAACGTTTACGAAGAACCGGTTAGTACACGAAAAACCCACATCAGTGAGGTTTTACAATATACATAAGTTTTAATTATTCATCGGTTACTGTTTTAAATTAGCATATTATTGCAAAAATCCGTACCTGCTTCAGCCAAAGCATGATAGGCATATTAAATGCTGATTACTAAGTTTAATGAAAAGATTTAATTAAACAATTAATTTAAAACAGTAATTTATGCATAATTAAAACGTATTTATATTCGTTTAACTGTCAGTCCACATACTGATGTCGGTTTTTCGTACAGTAACCGGCTCTTCGTAAACGTTACAGTTAAATATTTTATAACAAAATTAACCTATATATTGCTATATTAACATATATACATACACACACACACACACGTATATATGACTTATGACACTTGTTCCATACATTATGCAGAACAATTTATTTAGGGAAACTTCTTTAAGCTGTAATATATTTTGTTAAGAAGAAAAGGAGAACACCCACCAGATTATTCCTAGTTAAACTTGCAGGATGCAAAATATAGATTTATCCCATGCGAGTGAGCAATATATCCAACGATATGTACATCTGCGCGCGTCGGAACCTGCGTTTTGACGTGTTCTAGTCCTGCGACGACCTTTTCTTCAGAGCGTAGTGACGTCAGACGCTCCCCTTCGCTTGTGTTATTGTATGATAATAACTGGCGGATTTCCATGTTAGATACCAGTGCAGAGTCGTATCCCACGGTGCAAAACGCATACATACAAAACTTGTTTATAGTGTGAATCATTCACTATTCTACCACGTGATTTGATAGCGAAAATGTGTTAAACCCCGAACTTGTGTTTAACTAATGTTTATTTTAATGTAAAAAAATGTGTGTTAAAATATTTTGATCAACACGAGTTGCTTTTATAAAGGTTATTCACAAGGATGGGCTTCAATACGAACGGCCTGTGTTTAACTCAAACACTTGATTTCGCTCAAATAGCCCTATCTATGCAGGCAGCTTCTTTATTTACCATTATGCTACTGATTTATGTTTTCGAGGCCTGTTATTTTAAAACTACGTAACAACAGGCCTAATGCTTGCCTCAATTAACTTGCTAAAATTGGAACGGTTTGCTTATAGAATATAGCATTTTATTAACCAGTTGTTATAATGAAAAGGAACCCTCTGAATTGCCGTTTAATGTATTTATAATATAGTATTTAGAGTAACTAACATATAAATTATTGAGATTTGAAGTAAAAAATTTAAAGTATAAAAAGAGTTCGTTTGACTTTTAGTATATTCAATAGTTCAGTGTAGTTTGATAGATGAGGCTGCGCTTATAGTAGCGGAACTGTCCACTATCCAAACCGAGGCTCATAATCAGCAAGCTGATGGTACCCATGACCACGAGTGAAATAAAAAATATACATCTTTATAGTAATTACTGACGCATTTTCACAGAACATTCGGCCTGCTGTTTCCCAGAGTATCTGGAAAAAAAAATCGATTTTACTATGGGACTGCATTATAGTGTTGGCTATACATATGCAAATTTACGCGTTAAATAAAATTTGTTGAAATTCTTAAGAATTCAGAACTTACATGTTGCATGTTTTAATAAGAACTGACATGCTGATTATGATCGTGACCCTCCTTATGAGATTGAGCAAATATTAAAAATTAAACGCAATGCATCTTATGAGTTTTCTGCTGAGTTTTTCCCTGCCACTAAGTTTCAAAACCTGTAAACATTTTTTTTTCTGTAAATTTCATAGCAAATTCAACTACATTGCACTGTTAAATAATTAATGTAAATCCAAGCATAAAAATCGAAAATCGGATAAAAATGAGAATATAAACTAATTGCCTTAGATTACCGAAATACGAAATATTCTAAATTTAAGGCGTTTGACAGCCTTTATAAATAACAGACGCTGATATAATAATACAAGGTATGTATACCTCAAAACTACTCAACTAAAAATATTTTCACCCAAAATTAACCATCTGTCAAAACATATACATTTCGTATAGGCCTACATTTCACGTTTTGTGAATTCTTTTTAAAATTTAAAATATGATAAATTAACTGCAATTTTCTTGCTAAGCCTACAAATACAATTTATACAAATAATTATCATCCTTAGGGTACTGTGGTAACTCGAATATTATATTTTATGAATATTATGTCTGAGAAGTTTTATTCATTCCAAGATATTTTACTACATATTGTAGTAATCAGAATGACAATTAAAGGGCAATAAACGAATATTAAATCTTCGAAATACGCCCCTGATATTATGTATGAATATAGGCTATAACTCATAAATAAAAGGTCCAGTTTCAAACTTTCGTGGGTATTCTAAACGGCAGTCTGATAACTGATAATTACGTTCTATAGCAACATAACGCGAATATCTTTAAATAGTAATTTACATGATTTATTAATGATTGATAAATATATTATTCGTACTCAGTTTAGGGGTGTGTCACAGTTTAATATAATGTTAATACTTAATGACTTAGTTGCATTTTTGTGTGATGAAACTGGAACGTTACCGTTTCCCTACAATTACAGCCTTATTATTTCTTCATTTACACGCATCACCTCCGACATTAACTCTGGCAAACACATGGATCTTGTACGCATTGCCGCTGGAATCAAAATAATTTCCTGAATGCCAGTTAATTGCCAAACACTATTAGGATATGTGCACAGTTTGCTCCACTGCACTTTACATTTAGAGATTTATTATTACCGCAGAGAAGAAGTGGAGTAGAGCAAACAGAGACTCTGTACTCTATTCCTGGTATGTCCCGAAGAGTCATGATGACAGTTATCCATCCAACTGACTCACATCTCCTTTGTATACCACGTCCTGAAACTGAAATACCTCCTTATATGAAACCCCTATTCAGCGAACAAACGTCTTACTCGTCTGCCATGCAAGTTGGACACTTTTGTTTGCTCTTGCATGTCTTCATTGTTCTGGTTATGCTCTGCTTAGTGTGCGGATGTCATTTTTAGACTGTTACTTTCGACTCGTTCCCTGGGAGTGTTGCTCGATCCGTGTTTGCGGCACGGATGGACTCCACTTATCCTTCAGAGATAATGTCCAGGTTACAGTGATGTTCAGTGTACAGATATTGTGTTGAAGATGGTTTCACTTGTTCAGCTGATGGTTTCACCTGATGGTTCACTTTGTTCCTTCATCTCCTCGGCTACCTGAAGCTAACAAGGATTTTCTTGTTCGGCCTCGAATAATGCCATTATTTGGCATCACATTTGATTATCCTCTAAGCATATATGAGACATAATTTAGGCGTCATTTGAGTATTTGATTCGTATTTTAGGCAAGATCTGAGTATATGATTCAATTAAATGTATTTTTATATAATGCCCTTCCAACATAGTAGCTATAGTCACAGCACATTGAGCAAGCAAGAACCAAGGCAGCAGCAGGACAAACTCACAGGTCATACTAGGAGAAAAAAGTCCATTGGGGTCTAATTACAACAGACTGCCCCCCCCCCTCACCTCTCGGGCATGCGTAGATGTGGATTTGCTAAAGAGGTCATTTGTGAAGCAGAAAACACAAATGAGAATTTTACATGCCAAAATGTATTGACAGAGCACAAATTGTAAGAATAACTTAGCAAGAAATATGCTTTACATGAATGATGTTTAAATAATTTTTGACAGTTTATATTCAGGGGATTGATTGCTTTTGATAAATCTGTCCTGATCCGACCGCATTTTGTGTTACACACAAAGGAGCCGAATGCAGAGTCCGGCATGAATGACAGCGGCTCCCTCTGGTCAGCTTCCGAATGCCAGAATGGCCAAGGTGACAAAATCATTTCCTTCAGCTTTTTGCTTCACATTAGAACATTGCATTCAATCAGCTGAAATTTAGATCATCAGGAACTAAAAATTAGTCTGTGTGTGTCTGTATTTGCATGTGGAAGTGGAATCTGACCTTTATAAGTAATCATACCAGATATACTTGACAAAGTATTTCCCGTTGTGACACTGACATTCCTTCGCATGGATGGCATGAGCTGTGTTGCTGAGCAGTTGAGCTAAAGTTGGATTACTATCTTGGTTATTATCATTTTCTATGCTTAAATAATAATTAAATAATAAATATATTTTTTGAAGTGACCTTTGGAGGAAAACACCAATAAACATCTAGTGAAAAATGGTTATTCCTCCATTTGCATGATCTTGACTATTAATTTTCCTTCAGCTACAAGTTTCCATAGTCAATGTCTTGACATAGTTTACTTTCCAGGCAGTTAAACTCTTTGCAAAGCAATGAGTTTCAGTATGATGAAGCAGAGTTACTAAAGTCAGTACCCAAAATGTGCCGTCTGTTGTATTTAAGTGTCCTCCTACTCAACGTTTGTGCTCTGTGAAGGACAAAGAGGGAAACCTCACATACAGCCTTGAACGTCTCTGGCCGTCGTTAGAGAAAGCTGTTCTGCGACAGCGCACATTTTTGGAGAGCTGTGAAGTAATTAATCCCTAGCAAAATAGTTTGCAAATGCATCACAAGGTGGGGACTTGTAGTTTCAAAACACAATAAGCAGAAATATAATGGATAAGAATACAAAAACTTTTTTTTTGCGCAATCTACATTTTCTTAATAAACTGAAAGAATAGTGAGTTTATGCACATATTATACTAAATATTTTGCAACCATGTAACCTATATGATGTGTAAATGGCTGAAAAGAACTGACTAATGTGTACAGGTTAGGCCTGATTTTCCTGGCTCAGTGTAAACGTGCTTAATAGTTTTTCATTGTTTTTCTTCCTTTTTTTTTTACTGTGACCAAAAGCCCTCATAAATAAAAGTTAATATCTAACGTGATTTTCTAAAATTCATGCCATAAGAAAATACTGTGTGTGTGTGTGTATGTATTTCCTTACAATATTATATATGTATATGCTTGATTGTGTGTATTCATTTTTATATATGTATATATAAAAACTTCCAGAAGCTTCCTAAGATAGTCATAGCTGTCACATAGTAATTTATCATTTCTGACTGATCAGCTCTCCCACAGCTGACCATGACAGGCATAATCCCATAGTGTGTGTAGCTTTGGAGGGACTCTCTCTAGCTTGAACAGCACCTCCTACAGACTGATAGCAATTGTGATCTTTAACTTATGACTGAGGGCTGCACCACGTTAGCCGCTGGTCTAAGCAATCCTACCCTTTCATGCAGGCACTGCAGTATGTAAGGAAAGCTATCAGCTGGCTGCCTCATGTATGACCTGCCTCTAACGATCCTACCCTGACATGCAGGCTCTGCAGTATGTAAGGAAAGCTATCAGCTGGCTGCCTCATGTATGACCTGCCTCTAATGATCCTACCCTGACATGCAGGCTCTGCAGTATGTAAGG